ATATACACACAATACACATCTATTCTATATTGCACTCAACTCATTTCTCTTTCTCTAAAAGTCTCCCACTCACGATTAGGGTTGCAAGTTAAGCTAGCCCAACCCAGTTCAGTCCCAAGACTCCCAACCCAACCTCAACCTGAAATCGATCAGGTTTCATGGGTCTTGTTTTTTTTTTTTTTTTTTTTTTTTTTTTTTTCAAATATGCAATTACATTTTCCTTTTTCACGTTTGTAAATATCAAAAATTTTAAGAAACTTTTATTTTTAAAACATCAATATTTTGGGCGGGTCGTGCGGGTTTCATGGGTTATTTTATTTTATTATTATTATTATTATTATTATTATTATTTTTACAAATATAAGAATATAAAAATTACATTTTTCATTTTCCATGTTTGTAAATATCAAAATCTGTAAGAAAATTTTATTTTTAAAACATCAATATTTTGGGTGGGTTGGTCGGGTTTCACGGGTCATTTTTTTTTATACAAATATACAAATTACATTTTCCTTTTTCATGTTTGTAATTATCAAAATTTTTAAGAAAATTTTATTTTTTAAACATCAATATTTTGGACGGGTCGATCGGGTTTCATGGGTCAAATTATTATTATTTTTTTCAAATATGCAAATTACATTTTCTTTTTTCATGTTTGTAAATATCAAAATTTTTAAGAAAAATTTATTTTTTAAACATCAATATTTTGGGGGAGTCGGTCGAGTTTCACGTGTGTTTTTTTTTTTTTTTTTTTTTTTTTTTTTTTTTTTACAAATTACATTTTCCTTTTCCCATGTTTGTAAATATCAAAATTTTTTTAATTTTTTTTTTTTTAAACATCAATATTTTGGGCGGGTCAAACAGGTTTCACAGGTCATTTTTTTTTTTTTCTTTTCAATAATGCAAATTATATTTTCTTTTTTCATGTTTGTAAACATCAAAATTTTGATATTAAAAAAATAAAAATAAAAATAATAATAATTAATGAGTCCATAGATTATAACGGATTGATTCTATACATTTTTGATCCGTTCATTTTTAACCCATTCTGAATGGATTGAATATGAATCTTGATCCATATTTGACCCGCTCATATTTAACCCAACCCAAACCCATCCCAACCCACTTATTTGCCAACCCTAATTTTATTGTGCAATTCGATAATGATACGACATCATTTAATACCTACCATCAAAAAAATATATATATATAAATAACGCATTTACTTTCTGATGGTACAATTGCATGTAAGATTTAAATAAAAAATTACATGTAAGATCCATATAACATGGTACAATTACATGTAAGATTTAAATAAAAAATGAAATACGTACTTAGTATTTCATTTTTTACTTAGCAACAACAAAAAGCCGAAAAAAAAAAAAAAACAAATTCCTACAATCAAACAGACACCAGTACTTAGTGAAGACCAAGAGTGAGGGGGTGAATTGGTTTTCAATTTCTTTTCTCAACTTTGAACTGAGCTATGCAAGTCGAATGGGAGTCAACATAACACTAGAGGTGCAGTGGTATGCTCAAATTCAGAACTGTTTGATGAAAGTCCCTTACAAACCCTAATTAAGCTAACCTGTTTGATGAAATGCACAAGAGACACACTAACTAAATAAAGAACACCAAATGTACGAGGTAAAACCCCTTATGTAGGGGAAATGTCCTCGAGACCTTAAAGCCTAGTTCCAAATCCACTAAGAGTAAAGTTGAAGTAAACAAACTGTTTCACTCTCACTCACAGCACACACCAAACTCGCTACAAGTCAATCGTCACTTCCCCTGCCCAAAGCCCCTAATGGTTGGACTTACACTTGCCAATCTCACTATAAGTTCACTCTTTGAAGACATCTTGTTGGCTATACGAGTTGAATGGGAGTCAACAGAACACATTTGAAGGCATCTTGTTGGCTTGGTCTGGGCAATGGTAGAATATTGGGACTGAGAAGTTGTGGGATGATGGAAGTAATGACCGGAGGGATAGCCCATGAAGTCCCCAAAATAAATGAACTAACCTTTGTGTTGAGATTAACATCAGTGTTCAGTATTTGTGCTTGAGTAACAAGGTTTTGTAGAGGGCCAAGAGAACACCAGTGATCGACCCAAAAATTGGTGTTGTAACCATTCCCAATTTCAAGTTTGATAAAAGGCTTGATGGCAAATCTAAGCTGCGCGCAAAAGCTTGCGCCAATTCCAAGAGCATGGTTGTGGAGTCTTCAATGTCCATAAGCATCTATCCCCAAGAAGATATGACCTGGACCATTGAACCCACAAAGAGGAGTAGTTAGGGGAGAGAATGAGCCAGAACTGCTTCATGATATATAGCAGCCTTGTTCCAAGTATGCAAATGAGGTATGTCCAGTGCACCAGCAGAAATAGGTCTACAAACATTTTTCCAAGCCACTCTAGCACCACCTTTTTTGAGAATTTGACCTTTCCAAAGGAACTTTCCAAGGATGCAATTGATTTCCTCCAATGTGCTGATGGGGAGAATAAATTTGGTAGCCCAAAAATTAACCATAGTACAAAGGACAGATTTGATGAGTTCAACTCTTCCTGCAAATGACAAAAATCTACCGGTCCAGTCCAGCTGCTTATTCTAGCAGTAACTTTCTCAATGAGTATCCTGCAATCAACTGGCTTGAGGCAGGTGGATATAAGGGGAACATCAAGGTATCGAAAAGGCAAAGAACCCTTTTCAATCCCAAGAGTGGTTAAAATTGCAGCTTCAAGAGAAGTGTTAGACTCTAGAGAAAAATATATTGCTCTTAGTGTGATTGATGGAGATTCCAGACAAGAAGCTAAAATGATCAAGAGCATATTTGATAACCTGCACTGAAATAATGTTAGCATGAGAGAAAAGAAGTAGGTCATCAGCAGAGATTAGGTGGGACAGAGCTCGGTTTTGACATCTCCAATGTCAGTAGGAATGGATGTGAGGGACGGCCAGAATGAGGCTGGAACAGTAGAGGAAAGGAAAGGTTGGAGGTGAGAAATGCCAGGGTAGGAGTGAGAACTACTCCCTAAGATGCTTTGGAAATGCTGCATGGCTTCATTTTGAATGGACGTTGCAGTTTCCAAGAGAACACCATCATGAGAGTTCCTATTGAATCGGGAAGAGACAGATTTGTGAAAGAATGAGGTGTTGGAATCACCATACTTCAGCCAAGATATCCTTGATTTCTGTCTAAAAATGTCCTCCTCAACTTCACATAATTTTAAGTATGATGAGAGTAGGAGCTGTTCTTGATTTCTGAGAGCACCATCTTCGGGCCCATGATCAAGAGCCATTTGACAAGTATGAAGTTCTTCCTTGGCAACTTGAACTTCGTTGGATATAGCACTAAATGTAGTGGAACATTTGTTCTTAAGGGGAAAGCTTGAGAGCTTTCAGTTTGGATAATAATACTTGGAACATTGGCACACCAGAGAAAGACTTACACCACACACTCTTAACAATGGACTGGAATTCGGGATGAGAGGTCCAACAATTGAAGAATTTAAATGATGTTTTCCTTTTGGGAGAGGGGTTACCAAGTTTGGTCACCATTGGACTGTGATCAGAAACTCCATAAGGGAAACTGATATAGCAGTTGCAATTGATTAGTGTTCTGTCTAACTTCCTTGAGATGTTGGCAGTTGGGCTCTTATTAGTCCAAGAGAAGAATATACCACTCTAATTAAGATCTTCCAATCCTGCTTTTGAGATACAAGATCTGAAATCTCTCATTTCTTGATTGACTTTACTTGAACCACCAAAGTTTTCATGATCAACGAGTAGCCATGGATCTGATGCAAACAGTTTTGAGTGCTGGATAATATCCCTCCACAAATGTTTTCTCTTAGCAATAGAGTTGGCACAATATATTGAAATATTATTTTTGTTGTGTATTTGATATCAGTCTCATCGATCTTGTATTTATTAGTATATTCAAGTGCAGATTGAACCGAGTAGAGTTTAGGCCACTGAACTCAACTTGTTTCTGAATGCCGTTTGGTTACCGAGAAAAATGCAATGTTACAGGAAATTAGAAATTACCATTTGGAAATTAAAAATTACCTTTATTATTGTTGTTGTTGTTTAACATGTTTCATATACTGCAAGGTAAATTAAATTTTTTAAAAAAATTCTCATTACTTTTTATTGAATCCGTGTAAGAAAAATGATGTGATTATAGTTTGATCTAAGGTAACCATATTATCTTCTTATGTTTACTTTGTCCAATATCTAGTTGTCAAGTCTATTTTCAATGCTCTGAATTAATATTGCCTTGTTCTTCTGCAGGGGGTGTCTTCTCTGTCTGTATGTTTCTGTCACCAATGTAACTCTCTCTCTCTACACATATCATAGTTCATGTTGAAATAGCAATATGACATAATAGTTGGAAGGGATTTGTCAGAGGTGGCTAAGAAAGATCTTATTTATATCTTTTGTTTAATCTAATATCCTTTTTTTTATATTGCATTGGTTGTTTAATTGAATATCCTTTCGGTTGAGACCTTGTATGGATATCTCTGGAAGATATATATATATTTTTTTTTGTGGCTTTTTAACTTCTAAATGTTGGCTAATAATAGTTATTTTTTATTTTTAATAACAGAACAACTTTCAGAAGGAATAAGAATACTTATTTTTTATTTTTAATACCAGAACAACTTTCAGAATGATATACAAGAGGATGAGGGATATTAAGGGTTTGAACCCTACTTTTCTCGGCGTGGCAGTTACCTTCAGTTATCTTCCGCTTTCGGGCGTGGTATGAGGTATGAATTTGTTGATGAACAAAGCAAGTCATTTATGAGACTTCATGTTAAATATAAAGTATATAATTTTTCTTTTAGCGTTTTTTCATGTAGCAGTCTATGCATATTACTATACTATGACTATACCCCAACTCGATTGCTTTAGCTCTAACTGTTTTTTTTCGTATAAAGAAGTGTCTATATATATAAGAAAGGAAAATAATATCTGTGTTGATTCTACAAACAACTTCTATTGGATTCTAAAACAATCCCTTAACATAAATAATCCAGAGTAAGTGTTACTTCTAAAACAACCCCTTAACAGAAATAATCTAGAGTAATTGTTGGATTCTAAAACATTCCCTTAACATAAATAATTCCTGTCGGATTTAAAGAGTACTTTACATATCCTAACTCTAAAAAATGCTACAACATGGGTTTTACAACATTGACTTAAGTAAAATCGAGCATCCGTCTCCAAGCGCCATTGCAAAAATGAATATTTTTTCACCACCTCCGGCGCCTCCTTCCATACCACAATGCAAATACTGCTACTGATGCAGCCACAATAACACCAGCTGTTGCATGCCAAGCATATAATGGTTTCTCTACAACCAGTTCAGAACCACCAACTTCAACAGGCAGTGTTGGCGGTTGCTTCTCACTCAATGCCAAAGCAAAACCCAAGCCCTGATTTTCAAGTTCAGCCAAGTTTTCAATTGCTGGTTTCAGCCTGGTGGCCTTGGCTATAGCCTCGTACTCCTCTTTGGTTCCACCTTCTAGAAAAGACCCAACAAGATGACCATTGCTCACCCAATAAGCCCCAAAGGCATTTCCAGAAAAATCCCCAAAATGGATTGCCTCCCCTACATTGTCTCCATAAACCTGCCAAGATAACGTAAAGACTCTGGAATAGAAGAATGGCAGGTAGTCGAATTCACTGGTTTTGTCTGGTTCCATTATTGCAGCCACCGCATGTTTTGCCGACCTTCGGGCTGAATCAACATGCTCGAGTCTTCGGGTATCACCAAAAAGTTTGACCGGAAACGCCGCGACATCACCAACAGCATAGACTGAGCTGTTGCTCGACTGCAAGTGTCCATTCACTTTGATCCCACCTTTCTCCAGGGTTAGTTGGCCTTCAAACAGGCCTGTGTTTGGACGGATTCCGATTCCCACAACAACCATATCCGCTGGGAGCCGACTCCCATCCCTGAGATTAACTGCTGTAACCTGTATGATGAGTTAATCAAAAATTTAGTAATCAAGTTGCTTCACCAAAAATATCAGTTGTGAAAGTATGTCCACATCCAAAGCCATTGGTGGAAAATGCTAAATAATAAGCAGAAAAAGCCAATAGCCAGCCAGCCTATGTTCTGGAAAGGTGACTTGCCACATTTGGTAAAGACACTTCCCTCCACTTGCAAGATCAAGAGTATTTGTTTTGAACAAAAATACTAATCTTCATGTGCTCCAGAAATGATGGTAACAATAATTTTTAGCTAATCATTCCCACAAAACGACCTGAAAGAAATTCTCTAAGAATTTTCAGCAGCATAAACGTAAGATATACCTTTCCCTCAGAGTTGAGGTCAAATGATGACAAGACAGTTCCTTTAACAAACTTTACTCCTTTAGACTTGTAATAATCTTCATAATAACTAGCAATCTTGGGTGTAAATAAGCGGGCCACTGTAAAACAACCAAAAGTAAACTTTGAGAAACAATACCATTGAGTAATATGGAAGTTCGAACTTTGAGAAACAATACCATTGAGTAATATAAGTCCAAGAAACTTTAGTGCATCAATATAATATGGACGACAGAAAGCTTGCTATGAAAAACTTCAAAACAGCTATGTATGATAAGTATGCTCATAGCCACTCAGGTATACAATCGACTAGCTAGTGTATTATAAAGAAATAAAGGACATTTCTACATCCAAAGAAATTAAAATCATTTCATTCCACTTTAAATGACATTTAGAAAGAGACCCTTGTGTCTTTTCAAGAAATTTAAGTGACTCCATTTCATGTTGGTTCTGTTTGCTTGTAAAAATATATACGAAAACTGGTTTTAAACAGCAAAATAATGTAGCCATGTAGCTTTTTTTGGGGAGGTGAGAGAAGGGGGATGGGAGAGAAGAACTTTGAAAAATGCATAGCAATATCCTTTTTCCAGTTCTTGCAATGCAACATTCCGAGGAAAGAGGCTCAACATGCCTGGCCTGTTTATTTAATGTCATGCAAGGTCTTCATTTTTCTAGATTTAATAGACAGAACCTGACTTAAAATATACAACTTCATCTAATAACATAGACACACTTCTTCTCTTGATTTCATTTTTTAATCAATAACAAAAGGATTTACAATGCACAGGATTGTTTTTAAAATTAAAATGACCATTTATAGCTTCTTCTTTTTTGACAAGTAAAAAGAAGATCCTATTCCTCTGACCTATGACTTGATTCTAAACGATGTCTCTTCAAATGATAATGGGAAAAGGGAATAATACATTGCCAGATGAACTCTGAACAATTTCTGAAGTTATAGGAAACCAAAATGGAATTAAGATCAAAAGAGAGCAGTTCCAAACAAAAAATGCTTACTGCAATGTGCCTCTGGAAAAACCATGGTGACATTTATCTTATTTATCACCAAAGAAGCAGCACACTCCATTCCTATGTAACCGCCACCAATGACAATCGCATTCCCACCATTACAGGATTCTATAGTTCTGACAAGCCTCGTTGCATCGTCCAAATCACGTAAATAACACACATTCTCAGCATCTGATCCACTCACTCCAAACTCTTCAAGCTTCAAAGCCTACACATAGCATGTGATAATCAATCAGAATCACATGTTAATCAAGGCATTACAATAGTTAAATGAGCATTGCCCTTGGGAGCTAAATTCACTTAAACTGGGTGCCAGATCCACTCTAAATCGTCAAAGTGACCTTAAATTTGAACTTGGGTCACACCAAAAAAAAAAAAAAAAATTTAGGTTGCAAACCATTGGAAGATAATTATCCAGCTCCTTATGTATTGTGTTATTTTTCTTCTGAATGATTTTTCAGTCCAATTTACTCGTGTAATCTTAAGGTATTATTCAAACTTCTTGCACTCTTGGGTCACACCAGAAAGAGAGAAAAAAATTTAAGTTGCAAACCATTGGAAGATAATTATCCAGCTAATTACACCTTCTGTTCATTTTATTCTGTATGCTTTTTCAATCATATGTACTCGTGTAATATTAAGGTATTATTCAAGCTGCTTGCACTCTTGCTTTATACTGTGGTTACTTTGAGATTTTTCCCCAAAGTTAATGTAGCTAGTGTGACCAAGAGAAGTGGCTAATAATTGTATCGAATTGAATGCAGCCAATGCAGCATGGCCTATATTCAATCAAGGAATTAAATCTTCAAAATCCTTTTGACATTGCATATGGATATTGAGTGATGCCAAAACTTTTGATATTCAAAACACTTTCTGAGAAACATCCAACATTTCTTTCCAAAAAGTGAGTGATTATCATTAAATAAAGGTTTCCTTATATTTCTCCTGGACCAAAAAAGCCCGAACTTAAGCTAAACCATAGGATCAGTCACAAACCAACATTTGCATTTTTGTACAGCAGTTACTACTAGTGGCAACAGAAAACAATGCCATTGTCAAATATTGATGTTCTTCTTATGGAAGATCACTTGACTTTTTTTGAGTTTTATAAGAAAAATGTACTTAATAAGATAAACTGTCTATCTAGTACTTAAGAAGGATTATAGACCATTACAAGATTAGTTTCAGTACCCGAGCACCTGTAGCAATGATGAGAATCTTGTAGCTTATAGTTTCCCCAGTTGCTGTTAGTAGTGTTTTCCGCCTCACATCAGCAGACTTGACTCGTGTTCCAAGAACGAGTTCAATTCCTAAAATACAATATCCAGAAACTAAGTGTCAGTGTTTAAACTGAAGAACAATATATATATCTAAAAAAATACAAGTAGTAAGATCCTTTTATTTGATTGGATGATATACTAGTATTTTTTAGAATAATCAATGGTGACCTATCTTTGCTGGTAAGAATAATTTTTTAGATCAAAATATTATGCGAAGAATTTTAGCTAGTAATGATTGAACCATTAAGCGAAAAATGTTTCAATTTGTATAGAAAATGTAGTTATTCTAATGAAAATTGGCAACAATAAACTGTTGACCATCATATATGCCAGAAATTCTGACGCTTATATGCATCTTTGGTCAATCTGGGAACTTTAAAAAATTGCATATTACCTTTCCGTTTCTCCTAGAAGAGAGCCTAAGAAGAAATAACTCCAGAGTTGCTCCTTTTGTACAACACTACATCCTATTTTTCTTCCTTCTGGGGAGGGGTAATAGTATAAAACCAAATCAATATTTCACAGATGTGTTCTATCAACTAGCAAAATTCTTAATGCAACTCTCTACCCAGAACTGCAAATGCATACAAGTGTAAGCATAAGCCAATTTGAACTAAATGACTTCATAATAAAGACTACTGTTGTGACCCTGCCACAAGTTCCAGAGTCATCTGTGCAATAGTAACGAATTAATGTTATTCCAGATTTAATACATAGCTTTGCAGATATTGTATATTTTCATAATTGTTTTCTACTCTTAGCACGTGACACATTGCACTTTCCATTTTTAATTCCTACTATGTTAGTGTTCCTGAGGTACACAAAAGTTTTTTATGTAGGCTGATACTTGTTGCTTGTTGCAACCCTCTTCCTTTGAACGGGTTTGGAACTGACCGTGTTAAAGACGAGACCTTAAAAAAACTAAATCTACTGCAATTATCTCAAGTGGGTAAGAACTTGGCCATGGTGCCTCAGGAAGCATCAAGTCTAAGGTTCGACTCCTCTTGAGTGCAAACAATTCCTTGAGGCGGGGGGTGAGGGTATCAATTAGGAAAAAAAAAAAAAAAAAAATGGCCTACTGCAATTATCTCATTATAGCTCCACATGTATCTTCAAGTTCGCAAACTAGGACTATAAATTAGCTGCATAACCTTTAAAAGTCTATTTTCTAAAGGCTCTGGACTAGTTACTGTAAGATAATGCACTGGTTGGAAGTCCTTTCTGCTTGTTAGGATAAGTATTTAATATTTGACATTCAAACATAGAAAGTTTTACAGGTAGCTAATAATTTTGAATACTTTTGTTGCAATGGAGCATGATGACTGTTTGAATAATCGAATGAGGAGGGACTAAAAATTTTGTGCAAACTGTATGCTTACTGCAATCCTCCTCATTTCTACATGTTTGGGACTAGCGAAAGGAAAGATTTACTCTGCATGTTTGAATAAGTATATTATACTAGAAGGCTGGATTGAAAAGAAAAAAAATGAAAAAGAAAAAGTGTTTCATTTAATGGTTTCCTTCACACAATGAGTTTTCATTCTCATGGCTTGAAGCTAGAGAGTCAGCTAGCAAATTGCCCCATCTAATATGGTCAGCAAAACAAGCTATTTTACAGACACTTACCCCTGCAAGGGAATTCATATACTCATTGTAGAGGTTCTTTCCAAATGTTGTTTCTTTTTGAATGAATACTTGCTACAAACACTGCCATATAAAAACTAGGTTCTATCTCAACATTATATACATTAAAATTTTCAATTAATTTACTTATTAGAAGTGATTACATTGTTATCCACAGAGGTTGAGATACATATACAATAACAAGACCAATCGCATCCCTTGAATCTTTGCAACAAGAAGCATTTTCTTTTAAGATACCATAAAATTGAATTTCCCATTTAGACCAAAAGCATTAGGTTGACAGACACCTCCTCCCCTTCTCTAAGAAGAGGTTGAGGGTTCAAGTCCCAATTGGGATATAGGGCGTTTATGCACAGTTTCAATCAGTGAAAACAGTACAAATGCCTTTCACAAACCATAAAATAGCATCCCCATCTGAACTCAAAGGGGGCAAAATAGACTTGTACATGCCCAGTTCCAATCAGTGAAAACAGCACAAATACCTTTCACAAACCACAAAATAGCATCCCCATCTGAACCCGGGGGTAAAATAACATGTATAAGTCTCAGGCTATTGCCTCTCAAGCATCTTCAAACTACGTAAATCCAAACCATCAGCTTTATAATTATTAGTCCTGTTTCGATTGCTATCGCCAACTTTTGATTCATAAAAACTGTTAATTGACTCGCATTTTTTAGCACAGTGGGCATCAAACTAGTTGAAAAGTGAAGGGAATACCAAATAGAGATTTGAGAAAGATAAGAATAAAAACCCTCAAAACAAAATCACACATTAAAACATTGCTACAAGGAGTGGTGCATTTTAATATCCTCACTTGGAGGGCATAAAATGAGAAATAATTACCATGTTCCTTGTACCATTTTGGAGTTAGCCTTTCCTCATTGTTCCCTACACAAGTGTGAAATGATGGGAGGCGTGCTGGAGCTGCGTATTACCCAAAAAATAAATATATATTAATTAAGTGACAATCTGATAAAGGTTAGTGAGGAAATGCAATAGAAAAACGATCAGCCATTCAAACTCGTTAATAATAGTAGATTAATACAGAAATCTAAAAGCATGAGCAAAATCCTATAACAGATTTGACCCATGAAAATGGGCCAATAAACAGAATAAGGACAATCTGAATTTAGCAATGTTATCTAGAGGCAAGGGTTGACTAACCTCTTGGGAATATGTTTATAACAAGCAAAAAAGTACTTCAAGAAATACATGCTAGATCCTAAATGTCTAATTCCCATATTTTTCTTCAAAATCTATCGAGCACTTCCATGCGTTGTCCTGCCCATATCTAAACTGTTCCAAGATTCCCATTCAAATCACTTTTTTGTGTGGTATCAATAAGTTTTGGCATGTGTGTGTGTATATATCAGAGAAGCACTCTCGCAATGTGATATTCTCTATTGGAGTTAGTTTCATATGCCTGTTGTTATACAACACTTATTGCTCCTCAGAAAGCATCATATATGTGATGAGAATTGAAACATATAGTCGACTCATGAATTTGGCCGACCCCATTTGTTTGGATAAAGGCAAGGATGATAATGAGTGAACTCATGAATATGTACAATAAGGAGATACCTTCAGGAAGTAAAAAACCTTTACTTAATGCAGGTCTCTCATAAGGCACAGCCTGCAAGAAATATATTGGAACTTTAGCACGAAAACACAGAATTTTTTGAAAAATAATGGCAATTACAATTTTCGCAAACTTATCATAAAATTAAAAAGATCAAAAAGAAAAAGGTTATAAATCATAGATCTTCCTGGAAGAACACACAGATTGTAGAATCCTGAAGTGCTCAAATAATTAATGACAAACTACATGTAGGAATAAATGCCCTCATATGCCCCCTTAGTGCTAAATATAAATGGGTGAGAAATATGTAGTGCTCAAATGGACACCTTGATAGCATTATTATTATTATATTTTTTTTATAAGTAAAAAAGCTCACCTTGATAGCATTATTTGAGCAAACAATAACACAAATGTAGTAAAAAATAAGACAAAATATCTATCAACTTAAATTTAGTATACTTCTAAGTGAAAAATATAATTAAAAATAAAATAAAAAACTAAAGGAAAGCTAGAGCTTTGCATCTTAAGTGAGAAGTAAAATTGTGGATTGGTTTGAATGTCTCACAATCCCTTTTATAAAGACAAATTTAATAGTATAAACAAGGAGAATTGAAATAATAAAAACCTAAGAATCCCAATTCAGCATAAAATTGTTAGAAAATTGAATTGAATTTTTGTTTTTTCAATTGAAAAGAAACTCACAGGCCCATTTATTCCCACTGTGACTCGAACCCTGACCTTCCAATCCTCACCTTCCACATTGGGAGGTAGAGGATATACCACTAGGCTACGTCCTTTGGTAAATTGAATTGAATTATATTGTGTAATGCCATAAAAGTTAAAACACTTGACCAATATATATATATGTATATATATACAACGCCTGTTTCTACAGCTCAAAGAACCGTAAAGCTTTAAACCAATTCTATAAGTCATAGAATTCTATATCTGACATCAAGCTAAATGATTCAAAAAAATGGAACAAAATAAACAATAATCTAATAATAAGGCCACGTACTCATAAGAGACAACATAATTAAAATGATATAAAAAACAATGATATCAATGTCTGTGCGTGTGAGAGAGAAACTTACAGATTCTTCAGAAATGATACAGAGTTCACCATGAGAGACTCCTCTCCTGGTGAATTCAAGAGCTGCATATCCAGCTGCAACACCTCCACCTAGAATCACGTACACAAACGCTCTTCCCATCCCCCACCTCCCCCTCTTCTCTCTCTAAAACCCAGACTTTCTCTCTCTAGAATTTCTTGGGAAGTACCTGCTATGAATACTTCTTTTTCTTCGAAGAGAAAATTGAAGATGACGGCGTGTATCAACTGTAGCTTTCCAATTATAACCTTCAATCTCGTGTACAATTAGTATATTATATAAGATTATGAGATTTCATTTTTCATCGCATCAAACAATCAGAGCCGTTGAAAGTGATGACTCATGGTATGTCATCGTTGGGCTGGGTATGGTTGACAAAATCTGATTGGAACAGGTCTCGTTAGGTAATTGTTGGTGGGACCAATGATGGTGGGACCGACGTTTTAACACGTGGCAAGATCATGGTGGAGAGAGTATTGGGAAGTGTGATGTCGATTGATGATGATCAAGATCAACTTGGAGTTGTTTGGCATGATAGATTGATTATGTCAGAGGCCAGTGGTTTTTGTGGCACCTCGTGTAACTGAATGTGGATGAGGCTTCAAGTCTCAACCATTCTTTTTGTTGAATTTTTTGAAATTATCCTCAATTTGGGATTTTTTTTTGCTTTTATCCTTTTGTTTTTGTACCTTCATTTTATATGTGTCTATATATCTATGTGTGTGTGTGTGTGTGTGTGATAGACTTCAAAATATAATTAGGTAATTATTAGAAGAGACTTGTCCAACATTAAATCTGGACAAAAATGAATTGTTTAATAATTTGGTATGTTTGAATTATTACCAATGCTATTAAAGTATTTTATTTGTAAATGTTATTAGAACGTTTAGGTCTTATTTGACATGCGTTTTGTTTCTATTTTTTTAATTTTGGGCTATTGCAGTGTCTTTGATAACTGATTTTGATAACAAAAATATATTTGGTACGATCTTATTTTATTTTACACCGTGTTAAAATACTTCGTGAACAGTGACCCAATATCAAAATACCAAAAAGTTGTGTTTTTTTTTTTTTAATTTTTAACTGTTCATGGCCCAAAACCATATTTTGTATGTTTCTGTTTACGACGCTTTTACAGTAAAACATTATTCTCAAACGTGCTTTTGAATTTTTTTTAAAACACTCGTACAACAAAAACACTATTTCTGTTTTACCCAAAAACAAAATGCCTAAAACAAAATGTATATCGAACCTAAAACAAAGTGCATCTCGAGCAAACCCTTAGTACACTTACAAACGGTATTACAAGTGATATACTTTGACCAAATGATTTTATTTTAAAATATTTTGGCATTATCATGGGCAACTTGATGATGTGATTCCTACTCAATTTTAGTACACAAAACATATTAATTTAAAAAATAACTTATGAATCATGATAATTGGTATGAGGTTCATTCTGAATCTATTATTATTATTATTAATACAAGGCTGTTTGTAGTATTTTAGTTTTCATAAATTTCATGAAGTTGGTAGGGATTCATATAGTTTACATAATGTTAATGAAAAATCTAAAAAAATGAAAACACATTTTCACACACACAAGCATGAAGCATAACTTCAGAAAAAAAAGGTCCGTGCAAGTCACTTTCAAGAGAGACTTCGGCTTTAAAAATAAGTTTCTATTCTTGACCCTAAATCAGGGAGAACTTTGAACTTCTGAGTTGAGCCTTTTTTTTTTTAAAGCTAATATACCTAAATTCACAAGAGAATGAATCCGAGGGAATTAGTCTAGCTTTCTAAAATGATTGAAAATATGCTCTGTAACGAACAAAAAGAGAAAGATATTATCGAGTAATAATAAATAAAAGAAAATACATAAATAAATAAAATACTTTAATGTAATAAATAACGAATCACTAAACATGGAATGGACCTGGATTTATAGGCCCAATAAAAGCCCATTCTAGTTGCTCTTCTAAGTAATTTTCCCGTACAAGTTTCAACATCAAACTTGGTTTGGAGCGACCTGAGCCCAAGAATTGCACGTAAAAACCATTAACACCAGTCCAATCCAATTTCCTTTTACTCTTGTTGTATTATTATTATTATTATTATTTTCAAAAGTTGAAACAAACACAAGTATAATTATTAATTTTGTTTCCTAGCAAGACTCGAACTCTCAATCTTACTTTTAATTAATAATATTTATAAAAGGCTGTCCTCTTAAGTTGTTTGTATCAATAAATGACACATCATTTTGTAACAAAAATCAATAGGAGCTTTTATCATTTTTTATATTATTTTAAAAAATATTTTTTTAAAAGTAAAGGAAAAACAACGAGTTTCAGTTTTAAAACTCAAATTTTCAAAGGATGCATTTATTTTAATCTTTTGGACATTTAAAAAAAGAAGGGACACTAATTTGAAACATGGGAACAAATTGGAATTAGAAAGGAATCAGAATTAGAAAAGGAATTGGAATTAAAATGAAATTCCATTTCTATGTTTGGAACAAATTGAATTTAAAGTTGGATTTAAAATGGGATTTGGAATAAAAATAATATTATATCATTTTTGCCCTTTTTTAAATATAAATAAAATATTTATTTTATTGTTAAACAGTCTCCAAAGGTACATCAAAAAGACAAACGAGAAGAACTACATGATATAACTAAAATATAAAATTTATTTATTTAACAGATCACGTAAAAAAAAAAAAAAGGAGCAATTATTTATTAATTAAAAAACTAATTTATTAAACTACCATCACCAACATACTTAAAAAGAATTACTAAAAAGTAAAATAACGTTGTGAACAGTCATATAAAAAAGTAGTATGGAGTTAATTAATTAACTTGGATATCATATCCACATATGCTAGTATACACTTAATAGGGTAGGGTTAAATGAGAAGAGGACCCGTTGGAGAATGAAATAGATTAAGTAGATATTGTACAAAGTTAATTAAGATACTATCGTATTTATCTTCCAAATTTCGTCAAATCCTACCGTTTTAGACAGGATTTGAAACACATCAAAAACGGTATTTGAAATCCCATAACTTTAAAATCCCATTAATAGTCCAATGATTCCAAACACTGTATCAAATCCAGCATTCCAAACACAGTGTAAAGGGATTATAGCATCTAGACCACACATCATCTGATTGATATTTAAGATAAAATCACTTCTATGTCATATTAAAAGTAAATGATTTTCATATATTAAGAAATAAAAATATATTATTTCCTAACAATCATATATATCTACGAATAAACACGTAAACAGTGAAATTAAAGAAAAAAAATAGTCGAAGGACTCTCCATCCACACAATTTCTAACGTAAAATCTAAACATAATTTTCATACAAACAACTATATAAATGAAAAATCAAAAGGCTCTCATCGAGTTAGCCTTTCCGACTAGAATATCAATACTTTTCGAACTTTAATCAACGTCTCAAATTTCAATCATATTGTACCATATATTCCATTCATACAAAAAAAATGACACGTGAAACTTTAATCAACATCAAATTTCATTCACATTGCCCCATACATTAATTCGTACGAAATTAACACATGAATGGGGATGGTGATTGGTGACAAGACTCCAACCATATGGCAAGTCATGAGTCCAGTGGGCCCAAGTAGGAAGGCCCAGTACTCCAGCTTTGTTTTAGTGGGCCTAAAAGAAGTTGAAAGTGTGCCATGACGACACTAGTTTGGCCTTTTTCATCATTTTTCAAGTGACTTGTGACCCTTTATTTATTTTTATTTTTTTTATTTTTATTTTTTTATTTTTATGAACACAAGTGACTTGTGACTTGTGACTTGTGACTTGTGAAGTTGGTTTGGCACTCACTCATTGCCGACCCGCCATGTGATTTTCCTTATCTTTCACGTGACCCTAATTGTTTTTGCTTTCAATTCTTTTTTCTCATTTTAAACATGTGATCAAAAACTAGAGGCCCAAAATTTTAACACTTCTTTTGGTGGTGACAATAAAGGCCCACGATGCTCTTCCTTCCTTTTTTGCATGTAATTGCAAAACGCTGTCATCCTATTCAATTTATGCACAAGGATTTGTATATATTTATATATGTATATATAACACACACATACACACAGAGATGTGTTTCGAACCATGAACTTTCATAAACTCAAGCGTTGATTGTAGACCTTGTTCGTCTCACAAAGGAGTTTCAAGAGATGTGTCAACCGAGTGTCATCGTACTTTCTTTATTGTTACAGCAACATGCTAGCTGTAGACAAGAATTGATGTGAAAGGCTCACATACATACATGTATAAGTAATTACAGTCGTTCCTGTTATTACAACACTGTTCGTCATGGAATCATAATAATTAAATTATAGTTCTTTTTTCTGGATCCCTAATGAGTGGAGTCATTAAACTACAGTTCTACAAGATGGCCAAAAAAAAAAAAACCCTATGAACTACAATGTTCTAAAAGCACCAATTGCATATATATATATATATATATATATATATATATATATATATATATATATATATATACGTACACAAAAATTTAAGTAACATGATCATTATTCACCAATCTAGAGGCACTCCTACCCACCACGGACATCTCAAATCAGCTCAGATTTTTCCTTTTTGCGTAAGTAATTTGTAGGTTCTTATGGTTGTTATATGTTGTTGTTAGATAGTGTGTGTGTGTGTGAGAGAGAGAGAGAGAACCCCTAATGGGTAGAAGTTTAGCAACAACTTATTTGATGGGTTTTTGGGTTTCATTCTTCCTTTTATGAGTAATTTTAGATATTTATACATGGTTGGTTGTAGTTAATTTTGTTGTAAGCTAATGAAAGTGTAGGGTAGCTAGTACGTACTGGTGATTAAAAATGTTCTACAAGTGGATGTGGAATTACATGGACCATGTGAAGAGTTCCTTCTAGGTAACTTTAAAGTTAGGTTTACGTCTGAGTTCATTTGTTTAAGGTCATGCACAAATATGGATAAAATGAAAAGCAAAGATAGAATTTGCCATGAATATACTATACGGCCTTTCCACGTGTCAGATTGACATTGGTCCAGTTAGGTATATATGTTCAAGATTGGTTTATTGTACATGCATGCCTAGCTAGGTCATCTCATGTATTACATTACACGCATGATATTCATTACATATATATACATATACGTGAATGTAAAGCTTGGAGTTCACCAAGAAACAATCTAATGGATGGCATGACATAGCATAGCATGAGTACAAATTTACAAATGATGCCCCAAAATCTGGTCGACCATGACCTAATTATTGTCGTTGTCCAACAGTCAGATAATTCCGATTATTTTGATATAAGTGAGTTCTGATATTAGCAATATGATATATATCATGATGATGTTAGCCTCATCACCACTAACGTTATGGTAATGTCATCCTCACTTACATCAAACAATCAGATTAGTATATCAAAACACAAATCTGGCATGCAGGGGCGGATAAAATTAAAAAGAATAAAGAAAAAAAATAAGGAGTACTAGCCTACCCAGAATATATTAGACACCCTGAATATATTTTTGGGTCCGCCATTGCTGACAGTATTAACTAAAACCTAGCTCTCTGCAAGCTGATAACTAGTGTATTAGTAAAGAGCTAAGTAGATGAATCATACAAACATAAAATATATATATATATATATATATATATATATATATATAACACTAAAGAGGTCATAGAAGCTATCATCTCTATCAAAGTTATATATAACACTAAAGAGGTCATAGAAGCTATCATCTCTATCAAAGTAATTAAACACAAATAAATTAAACCCTTTTGGACCTAACTCCTAACACTTGCTTTTTAAGGTCTTTTATAGTATGAAAAAGAAAGGTAGTTGGAATTAGTATGTGATGGGAATAATCTTGTGTCTAATCAAATTAAATGACATGTCTCTATCTCAACAACCTCATCTCACTAGTAGTCAAATCATCAACTCTAACCAAAAGTTGGTTGTAAATGATTAATTACCTTTATCTAGTAACATGTATGTTAAGATATAGTTAGCTTAAATAGGATAGATTAAGATATTTTATAATCATTTAATCCAAAGCTAGCATTGGTACTTAATCTAGTAAATACTAGCACAACAATCTTTTCCATAGAACATGAAATAATACTCCCATAAACTTTATATAGAAGTAGATGTAGATTATACTATTTCTCCAATGTATTACAACCCATAATTAATTAAAAACTAGTATAAAGAAGATAGTTTTAATTATAGACAAATCTAATACACATCCAAATTAGAATTTGGATGAAATATAAATTATTATTATATTGAGTAGCCATTAAATTACTGCAGAGACCAGATATCCTCCATGCTCCAAATGTTGTCACTTGGTTCAATTGGAAAAGAGCCTCCCGCGAAACTCTCGAAAATTTCTGGATACGTCGGAGAATAGAATTCAGCAGCATCGGCGAAACTGGCCGTCTGACTTGTGCTTGCTTGATCATTATGCTCAGTAATTTGTCCAGTACTACTAAATGTTTCCGCTCGCTTTATATGTTTCTGGATTCGAGTCCGCCAGAAATTCTTTATTTCGTTGTCAGTTCTGCCTGGAAGATGCTTTGCAATTTTCGACCACCTGCATGAATATAGAAAATTTAAATTGTAACCCTAATATATACTTTATAGTACTTGATTTTTTTTTTTTTTTTTTTTTTAATTAACCCTAATATATATAAATTCGTAGAATGTTGTACATTATTATTTTTTTACAATCTCTCGGCACAATTGTACATAATATTGTAATTGCGAATGATATGCTCTTTGATTTACCAATAAAAGAAAAAGAAAAAAGACTATTGTAATTAATTAGCAGAGACATGCTAGACTAATGAGTGAGATATAGAGAAATAAAAATAAATAAATAACAGGAAAAGAGATAGCAGTAACATACTACAACTTATACATGTCAGCATCATCACTTTTAATTTCTGCAATTTCCAAAATTCTTATGAAAATAACAACTTTATATATATAACGATGTTAAAAAAAAAAGATAAAAAAAAAAAAGGAGTTTAATCCCCATACACAAAGCTCTAACCATTGCGAGGTCTAGAAAAGTTGAGAACTTAGTTAACCGGATATCATTTATTATAAAAGTATAAAAAAATATAGAAAATTGGGAATAAGGTGGCAAAAGTTTCATATCAAAACACTATTTGATTTGTAATATGAAATGTGGCCCACCATCTAGTGTGTGTCTCTTTGTGTGTCTAATAAAATCATGACAGCAATTCAATTCAATCACATCAATGCATATGGTTGAATTCCTGATCATGTTCTATGGCTCAAAACCAAAGTCTTTGAAGTTGTGCATGCTTATTTAAGGGAAACTCTATGCATAATGTTGAAAGTCACTTGAATGACAACATTTCAATTTCATTTTGTCATGAAATCAAACTCAAAAATCTCAAAAAGCAGTAGAGAGTTCAGATTAGAGTCAACATGTATGAAAATGACTCCAAAGTCCAAACCCTAAGATTTGGAGAAATCATAGTGGAGCCAAAGGTTTCTTTCAGAGGGGCAATATTTGGAATTTGTTGCAAATTGAAAGCCAGAGTTTGTGTTAAGAATGGGTGGTCCTCTGCAGTCAAGAATCTCCTTCTGCTCTACATTGAATCAGTCCCATACAAGGTTTGATTATTTTTTATAAATGTTTACATATTATTCCTATATCTTTCAAACTTCCAATTTTACCTTTTAAAATTTTGTAATTAAATATTTTCAATTTATTTAAAATTAAAGTTACAGTCATTTTTAATTTTCTCTAGGAAAGATAATCTAGCCTATAAAATAGTAATATTTTTTGAATAATTTTCTTATATTTTCAAAAGACAATTTATTTTATAGTTAAAAATTCTGATCTTTTTTTTTTTTTTTTTTTTTTTTTTTTTTTTTTTTTTTTTTTTTTTTCTTCTTCCGAATGATGTTAAAACTTATGTATTTACTACAAAGTTCTACTATAAATAAAATAGTTTACACAAACACCTATTTTTATTCCTAATGGAACTTGAACCATCAAACTTCTACTTTATATTGTGAAAAATTAGTACGAGAATAGTCAATAATTTTTTTCAAAAATAAAAAATAAAAAATGTTAGGTTTGATTATTTTAGTTAACGGCGGTTTCAAAATTTAACTTTTTATAAAATAACAGAAGAGAGGTTCTTATAAATGTTTTATGAGAAGGCAAAAGAGAAGCTTGCTTAAATTTTGGAAGAATCTTTATTATTATTAATATTTTTTTAAACAATTGCTCAAGTAATGAAAAGAAAGTCAATCACTCACCTCTAGTAACTGAATCTGTATACCAAAAGACTTCAAAGGTTTTCTTTTATTTTTTCAACTTAAAAAGTTGTTCCCACCCTTTAAGTGAAACTATTCTCCTTTGACAATCATCGGTGTTGCTAATCGGTTTTAATTTTAATTTAAAATAATTATACGAGACTAGTCCTACAGAAAAAGAATAGACAAAAAGCTCAATATTCAAATGTTCCATCCTTCGAAAAAAAAAATCTCTCCAGTATTTTAATACTTAATTACCGGTGCATTAATAATGGTTAGGATCATCGGATTCCTTCATTATCAGTGCACCGGCAAATATCGAAGTACCGGAGAGGATTTGGGTTACAATGCTTTGGTTGTATCATTATTAAATTTAGGGGACCCTTGTCTTAGAAGAGCCAAAATAATTAGGGTACAATCTGTCTACTTCAATCAAAGCCAAAAAGGGACTTCTCTTTGTACTGATGACTAGTTATAGTTAACATGTTACCAGTTGGAATGGGCTTCCCAAAAATGGAAACTTCTATTGCACAACGTGCCTTATTCACTTCCAAAACCCTCACATTTTTTGCTAAATTTAAAAACCAATTATCTACCCCAACTTTTACTTAAAAAATAAAAATTAAAAATTACCACAAAACAAATATATATTATATTATAATATTAATTTTCCAAAAGGAATTTTATTTATTGAAAAATAAATAAATAAAAGCAAAAACATTGATAAAAATTAAAATAAAATATCAATATTCAGGAGATCATAGCTGGGCCGGAGTGTACAACTGGCGTTGATCTCCTAATTTTATCGATGAATCAATTCTTAGCAGGATCAGAAACTAGAGTTTATTTTTCAAATCATAATGAGGGGTTTCTCTCTTTCAAAAATCATTTTTGGGCTTCAAAGTATTTTATTATAGATATTAAAGGTAACAAAACTTGATATTTTTGTGATCAAATTTTTGCAGACGTCTCATGGAATTTTCGTCTTTTTTTTTTTTGGTAAGAGAGACACAAATTTAAAGCTTCTTGATGAAGAAGTCCTAAGATTGATCAGATGATATTTGTCTTACATAGCATGCAAAATATAGATTAATTATGTGCCACTGTTCCATTATATAAGACCTATACGAGAAATTATCATTCCACCATATTGATTAAGGCATATATATATATATATATAGTTTTAAGAAGAAGAAGAAGAAACTAACATATTGTAAAAAACATTTTTACATCCATATATTATGATTATCCTCTCTCTCTCTCCATATCCAGGTGATGGGCTTCTAGGATGGCAACCAATATTATTGGAACAAAGCTAGTGGCTCCTCTTTGTCCACAAAGTGTGAGAATGATATGGTGAATCAAGTCAATTAAAGTTACAAGATTAAAAATCATTATTTCTTTTACAAGAGATCGAATTTCACATATATATATGTATATATATATATATTTGTATGTATGTATCACCTGTTTCCCCACTTAGCATGCAGTTCCATGATCAAGTGCTGTTCTTCTGGTGTGATATTACCTCTCCTAACATCTGGTCGGAGGTAGTTGAGCCACCTTAGCCTACAGCTTTTTCCGGTACGTTTCAGACCTAACAAATTACAATAAAAATTGTTTGAATTTCCCCCCCCAAAAAAAAAAAAAACTGTTCATCACTAGGGTTAGCATAAGACAGGACAAAGAATATTGGAAATATATATATATAGTGATAATAATAACAAATTATTACCAGCAGACCGAGCTAGGGAGTTCCATACACCTTCACCATGATTTCTGATATAGTTAATCAAAATCAAGTCTTCTTCCAAAGTCCATGGCCCTTTTCTCACTTCAGCATCCTGGGAGTTGCATGCTCTTTTATCCATTTTTATTTTTTAGAGAGAGAGAGAGAGAGAGTTGTGGGCTTTGAAGAAAGATAATGGAGTTGGCAGTGGGATTTATAGTGCTAAGGCTACGATAATTTCACCATTAAGCGAACTTTTATCCAGATTACGTGCCTTATCTCTCTGCATGAATTTTTATAATTCTAAAAAATATTTTATAGATTAAGATCTCGTCAAGTTTCTTTTTATTTTGGTAAAGTGGAGCCCATTTATCAATGGACTTAAATTATAATATATTAATTTTCAATAAGGACTTTGTAGATATTTTTCTTTTATTATTCAAGCTTACCTATTCAATAAAATAAAATAAGAGTTAGACTAGACGCTTATGTCATTACGAGATTAGGAAAGGTCAAATTTATGAAGAGATTATTTTTTATTTTAAACCCGTGACCTTCAAGTCACAACGGAACATTCTTGTATTTAAAGTCCAATCTCTTATGATTATTGTTTAACAGTAATATTAAAATTCAGGTGTGTGAATGAAATTGTCAATCACTTTAATAATATTATGTAAAAATTTGTAAAACACAAATCAATAACCAATGCATATATAGCTGACATGACGAGGATTAAACCAGGAAAAATATATATATGATGAGGATTAAATTAAATAGAATCATTAAAAAGAAAATAATCACTAATATATTCAAATGGCATGATCTCTGTTTTAAAGCTCTCGAGAAGGACTGTCTTCATGGATATATGCTTCGCACTGAACACCATACATGTTTTTTCTTTTTTCTTTTTGTTTTTTGTTTTTAGCTTCCCCTTTGTTTTTTGTTTTCGCACTGAATACCATATATTGTTGTGAGTTACAAATATCAAATGTAATAATTATTTTGAGACGGAAGAAATAGGTATAAATACAAAGAAAGGAAAAAAGGACATGACTCTAGAAGAACCACAAGCTCAAGGCAACCCATCAAGCAGGGCAAAGAATAGAAAGCCAAAAAAACAATTAGAAGAGAGCCACAATCATAACTCCATTGACAGTTAATTGATGGGATTGATCAGTGAGTGGTGAAAGCTGCTTCGGATGGAACTTAACGGTCCCTATTCGGCCGCAATTCACATGCAAGCATTACTGTTTTTAAAAGAGAAATGTTAATTACAATGGCGTCAATTTAAAACACAATATTTTATATGAAAATCTATTACAATATATTGGGGTGGAAGCTTTATCTTGGAATACCATACAATTCCTCCCTTTTTATGTGAAATAGATACATGCAACTAGTATACATGTTGCATGCATTTTTTTTCTTTTTTCAATTTTCATAGGCTATAGTAAATAGGATTTCCCTAAATTTTGGGAGTGTCTAATATTCTCTTGGTAAGTATATTTTTTTAATTTTTTTTATTTCAACTATTTTAGAACCATGTTAAATAAGATTTTCAAAAATAAATAAATTGGAACCTCCTGGTGCCACAAAGAAGAAAAAGAGAAAAAGAAAGAAAAAGAAAGGTATATATTAATGCATTGGAGACGTATATGTATATATATCACGTAATTAAGAATGCATGCTAAATACATGTTAAGCTCTCACATCTTATATTAAGTTATTAATTGGAAAGTTAATTTCTCGTGGTTGTATGAATGCTCAATGATATGTTTAACTTCAATAAGTCCTACATATACACCGTGGCATAGTTGTCGTGTATCGATTCTGAGGCTGAGAAGCTACTTATCATGTTACTAATGTTTAACTGCATCGTTATTTTTAATAATGATGTGCCATTTTAGGATTTATACTCTATATTTTATGTATATATGGAAAGTATGTGAGTTGTAATGCGAAATGCTTGTGGGATATATGGATAAATAATTCAGAGGGGTGATTATATTCACTCTTTTATTCAATTTTTGTTTAAATTAAATATATCAAAATAAATCTAAATTAAAAAATTCACAAAACAAAAATTAATACAAGTCAAACAAATAAAATTTGAGAGATGACATCGAGATTTATAGTGAGGAAATCTCAATTGGTAAAAATCTCATGGACTATATATGCCGTCCAGAGCAAAACGATCCACTATATTTTAAGCAATGTACACTGAATTTTGACTTAGGCTCACCCTATCTACCAAAAACCAATTGCTGGCAATCCCGTACTTTGCAAATATCACATCCAACAGCTCTCGACCTCAGGCAGGCACGGACCTGGTTAAGGACTATTATTTATACTTTTTTGTTATTTGCACTATTATTTATACTTTTTGTTAAAATTTTGAAAATGCCCCCTTTCAATTTATAAAATTTTAAAAAATACCCCCTCAATTTGTAAAAATACCACACTTCACATTCTTGCCCCCACTGATTTTTTGGATCCAAAAGATAATCATCTCGCCATATTCATGATTCTCTCACACAAACTTTGATATTCTCATTTAATTTTAAAAAATACCCACTATATATATTATTGCGTTTTAAATCCAAAAGAAAGTAAAGTAAATATGTTTTCTTATTTCTTCACGTCCCACATCCATTGTAATCTAGAAACCACGGACACAGTTAAAAGAATAAAGAATCTGAGTCAGACAAGTCACAAAAAATTAAATTATTCTATTTATTATTTTGTTTTAAAAAATCATCTTCAATTATTTTTTATTCTTCAACAGCGTCCCCTCTCAAAAAAATTCCTGGATCCGTCACTGACCTCGGGCTTACTCTTGATCTCTATAGAAGGGTTGCAGGTAGATCAAACAACACTCCACGAATACTTTGACCCCTTCAAAGTGTGATCGTTTCACCCATTTTCTTCAATTCTGAATTTGATGAAGAATGAATGAATTCTGCTTTATCATATTGATTTTATCTTCAAGCTCGTACTCCAATCAGAATAAGAATAACACCCTAAATCACTCTTGTGTTTATGTGTGTGCTTTCAAAAATAAAATCAGAAAAATTAGATCGAATTTTATGAATAAAATATCTCTCAAAACAATTCTCTCAAATATAAATATATATATTTTCAAGCCCTAAAAGTTTAAGTGAAAAAATATGTTTTTATAAACTTTTGAAAACCTAATTGTATTTGGAAAACAAGTCAATTTCATGTATAATTAATATAGTAAAAGTCTATGTACAATAGGAAGCCAAAATGAAACTAAGTTACCAAAGCTGTCTGAAGACCTTGAACCGGTTCAGAGTGGTTGAACAAGTTGCCCAATAAGTTTTCGAAGAAATTTTTTTTTTGACACTTGAATCGGTTCAGGGTGGTGGAACTAGTTCAAGTTGGCCAGTGAGTTTTCGAGAAAAACAATATTGACACATGAACAGGTTCAACTTGGCAAGACAAAGTGTCCTCACACAATTTCTTACCTTCCTAAAATGTTGTTTTCATCATTCCGGAGTGTATCGAAGTATAAATACGATCACTTCTTCACAAATCGAACTGAAAATTTACAATTCAATCGGACTCGTTTTGATAACGAAATATGTCAATTACAAATTTATATCTCACAAAATAATGTCCGATTGATACGTCTTGTTTGACAAGATTTTATTTTTATTTATTTATTTATTATTATTATTATTATTTTCATGTTTTGTGTTGCAAGTGGTTGATATTACAAAGCAAAGCATCACAACATGTTTAGGAGATGTTTGAAATATGTTATGATATTGTTTTATTTATACAAATTTGGGCTCATATCATGTGTGAAATGATTGATATTGATTTAAAATAATTTATAATATATTAGATGTTTTGGCCTAAACTCATACTATCAAATTGATGATATTTTTTGTTTTGGTACTTTTAGTGGAGGGAACTAAAACAAGATTTTGAATCTTTTAAAATAAATTTTAAAATTTTTTAAAATAAATTTTCGTTACCAAACATGCTTTCGATTTCTACCCAAAATACTACCATAACAAAATATAAAGCTTTTAACTTATTGTTTTCGCATTGTAGCTGCACAAATGTTACAGCGGTGAACAACACATACCTCAGAAGGGTACACGTTCAAAATAGAAATTTCAAGAAAGACCGACTTTCCATCAATATTTTGGAATTATTAATAGGCGCCAATGAAGTTAGGCCCAGCTACAGAAAGCCCAGCTCATATTGATTTGTCGATGGGGCTTATGTCATCTAGCCCAAGCCCAGTACAAATCTGGGACCTTATTTGAATACAATATCAATACATGCATGATAATATAATTACTAATGACAAGATTAATTTGCTACTTTTACACCCATTGACAAATCACAGTACATTTGTTTTGAATTCTTCCGATATCAATTATTATTAAGCATATTTGAATTCGGTAAGTTGACAGAAAAATCAAAATTGAAATTGCAATTTTGAACAATAAAGTTTGGTGTCGACACCACTAGATCCAAAATTCACTACCATAATACAGATTGTGATATGCGAAAGGTGTTCAGTAAATTCAGAATTTCTTAGTTGGATTTCATAAGTAATGTTTATGAAATATTCTCGACCACATAACTTATCATGATTTGTGATGAAGCATTAGGGTTCACAAATATGATCAGATTTTGTCTGGCAGTAGCTTTTCATTTAATGTCAGACAGATGATTAGGTTTACATCACTCTTGTTGCGTTTTGAGCGCAAGAGTAACAATTCCTATTCACATAACTTCATATATATATATATATACACACACACACACATTCTAATTCCAGCGCAATTCATTCAATAATAGTACAATAATTTTGTAAGTATTGTATAACCTATTTTATAAATAAATTGTTTAATTCATAAAAGGACACAACCCACCTCTTTAACATGTTTAAATTAAATAAATTATGTGACATGTTTATTAAAAATAAAGAATACAACATTTATATTGAGTTTATTAACATTAATTGGATTGAATTTACATGATTAATCAAACAAGTCAAATTAGATTAAACTGCATGTTAACACGATTATGATATAAATACAATTAAGGCCCATTCAAATTCAATAACATCATCGTGTTCGAATTGTGTCGACTGATCGTGTCAAATTTCGTAACTCCCAAATG